CTGGACGTCTTTGGGCCCTTACCAGTGAGTCGAACAGGAAACAGATACATTCTAGTGATGATTGACCACTTCACTCGATGGGTGGAAGCCATACCAATCAAGGACCAAACAGGCGAGACAGTGTCGCAAGTATTCGAATTCAATGTGCCTGCAAGGTATGGGATCCCACAGTGTATCATCACGGACCAAGGGCCCTGCTTCGAGTCAAGAGCGTTTAAGTCAGTGTTGGACAAGTGGGGCATCCAGCGACGGCGAACTTCACCGTACCACCCACAAACCAACGGCATGACCGAGCGGTTCAACCGGACATTGAAGACGTGGATAAACAGCACGAAGTTGGCATGGGAAGATGCTTTGCCTCAGGTTCTGATCGCGTATCGGACCAGCATGCAATCAACCACCAAGGTCTCGCCATTCGAATTACTGTTCGGCAGAGAACCACGGATTGCGCTCGATACTTGCCTACCGAACCAGGGTGAGTGGAAACATCCAGCTGAGCATCAAGAGCGACTGCGATGGAAAGCTAGAAGCGAAACCAAAGCTCGACAAGCGCGGAATAAGCGAAATTACGACGCCAGGCATGAGGCTCACAAGTGGAGGCCATTCAGGATTGGAGAACGGGTCAAGGTACGGAACAACGATCGGCCGGATCATGACGGGCCGGGCGCAAGCAAGTTTAGAGAACGCTGGAAAGGCCCCTACACCATTATCGACCAGAAAGCGGGCAACTTCTTAATCGACTGCGGAGGAATGAAACGTTGGGTGAATGCTGCTCTCCTGCGACCATGGTACGAGAGGAAGAAAGGTCCTGGAGGAGGGGCGGGTGTAGAGGGGCCGCTTCCAAGAATGGCTCTGGGGAGCTCTTCGGAGCTAGCTGAGAGCGGATCGCGAAAATCGGCTAGCGACGAACCTGGGCCCGGAACTACGGAGCGGGAATATGTGGACAGCGCAATAAATCAGACAAATACGCCGCTAGCGCAGCCCACAGGACCGAGGCCGAGCCGATTGACACAGCCCAGAACAAGCAAGTCGAGAGCTCTCGAACGACTCCTGGCCGATCCAAATCGGGTGCAGAGAAGCGGAGATCGAGGCGAAAACAGGAAGGCGGATCTTCCAAGTCAGAGCTGCCGAGGCGAAAGGACTGGCTCGCCTCTAACATCCGTACCTGTATTGCGTGGTGGGACGGAAACCTAGTCGATATTCGATGGCGCGCGCGAGACCCTCATGTGCCCATTTTCGGTGTGCAATAAACGTCTACCGCCCTGTCGTGTCGTTCTCGCTACAGTATTATTGACTTATGTCACCTCGAAAAGGGGGTTCATCAGGGGTTTGCAGTAATTGACTTGTCATGGCTGGGTCGGGGTCTGTATTTGGAGTGAGCTTAGGTTGTTCACCCATTACGCGCACACGTTCTGTGGTTTGTCTAAAGTAACTTTGTTATCACGTTTAGTTTGGTAAAACACTGCAGGTCTAGGGTACACATCAATTGGCAGAGAGAATGTATTCCTGTTTACAATGTTTGTGAGTGTAGTATCTGGGAACAGTAGATGAACAGGGTGATAGAGTCGAGATCTGCTAACACTTGCAGGGTAATGGTTAAAGGGTTGTTCCAAGTTTCCAGAAGGGAAGTAGGGAAGTGCTATACTCAAAGTCGGAGATTGATGCTTGACGTTATAGGAATTCGTAGATAATGCCCATAGACTTTAAGAAAACATGGTTGCAAAGAGATTTCTTTTCGCTAACTCACCTAAGGCAAATACGTTAACAAGCACAACTGGGATACTTATAAGCTAATGAAGGCTGAAGCGAAAGTAGGCGACAGGATAAAGCGATGCTCTCATTTGATGTGGAATCCCTTTTCATCAAGTCCCGTTGCTAGAGACCGTCAACTTTCTTTGCCGATACATAAGCGAAAAAAATCAAGCAAATAAGTGTTAGTATTCCAGTGCCAAAACTAAAGGAACTAATCCTGCGATGCAACTTTAACAGATAGTTCCTATTTGATAGAATTTATTATCGCCAGATTGATGGAGTCGCTATGGGTTCGCCCCTAGGACCTCTTCTTACCAACGTCTTCCTCGCAAGGCTTGAACGCGGTCCCATCCAACTTGTTATTGCTTCACTGGGTTTCGACTGCAGGTATATGGATGACACGTTCGTTCTCTGTGAATCGAGCGCTGATTTAGTTGGTTTACCCGATCAGCACAACCGTGCACGCCCATCATAGAAGTTCACCAAAGAAACCGAAAAAGAAAGAAAGCTGTCGCTGTTGGACGTACTACTTGCGAGACGGGAAGACGGCTCTCTTGAGAGAAGGGTCTTCCGGAAGGGTTCTAGGATTGGACAATACACGCAGTTTCTGAGTTTCGTGCCTCTGTGGTATAAACGTAACTTAGTCCACTGCATGTATTACAGATCCTCCAAAATCAGCATCCCAGGGACACTAGCAGATGAGAAAGAACACATATTTATTACGTTGCTCTCAAACAGTTATCCCTCTTCTTTTGTCAAAAAACATGCTGTTGTTCGTGAACGCAATGAAGCTATCATCACAGTTCCCAAATGGATGTGTTTTCTCACGGATCCGTTTAAGGGTGACATTGCTTTCGATCTATTGAACTGAAGACTTTCCACTGCAGTGACAAGAACGTAGCCAGCTGCAAATCCACACGTTTTTGCTGAGACCACTCCATTTATTACTCAGCGCCTTAAAGTCAGATTACCGGCCAAGTCCGAATCATACGTGGTATATCAATTTACTTGCACGTGGGGTGCTACGCACCTCGGACATAGTAACAGGTGTCTGTCAACAAAGATGGTTGAGCACTGTTCAAGGTCTCTACGAAAGGCACGGCCGGAAGTATCAAAAGTTCCATGCTTGAACACCTGGTTCAAAGCCGACAAGAAATTCTGACCAATGATGCTTTCAACGTTTTATGCACCGTGTCAAAACGATAGCCTAAAGGGATTAAGGGACGCCTCATTAAGATTGCGGAATCGATAGCCATCAAGCTAACGCAACCGAAGCTTTGCAAGCAAAGGATGCTGCTGCAATCTCTCATGCTGCTGCGGTCGTGATATGGATCCATCCGCATGGAACATTGAAGGTGGCATCACTTCTCTGCTGACCCAATTTGCTTCGCGAAGTGGTCAGCAAACTGTATCAAGTGGGGTCGATTAAGGTCAGCCTTCATCGACAACACACTCTTTAATAATTGGTCCGATCAAGTTAACTTCCGTCCGAATAAATTCAGACTCTCTCCTACTTTCGCTTCAGCTTTCATTAGCTTGTGTGTATCCCAGTTGCGCTTTTAAACGTATTTGCCTGATGTGTCAACGAAAAGGGATCTCCTTGCAAGCGTGTTATAGGAATTACTTTTAAAGCTGGTATATTAAGTATTCGTCGTAGAAGATCTCATTTGCATGGGATTGCTGGTCCGGGTTCTATCGGTCACATGGTTGGCGGCATCCGGTTTCGGATTTGTCTGTCATTGTAACCAGCCACAGAACGCTTGCGCCTACAGAGGGACCATGAGTGGCTTGCGCTGCAACACCCACAGCTCCATCCACACACCCCATATCCAGTGTAAACCCGAAGGAATAAAACCGGAAGTCATGTGGATGGGAGCCACGTTTCGTCAACAGAGCCGGCCCACACTCCTTCACAGGCAAACACAAGCACACTGTATTTGGGAATCAAGCACACACAAGGCGGTGGCTGGACCGTAGTCCGCTCCACACTGAGTGCATGGAACCACTCTTTGAGCCTAGCAAGGCCGCAAGGACCGTGCACCCCGTCCCCTACAGAAACGACCAACTGTCTCTTGGAGCCCATATTGACGAGATAGTAGGTAATAGAGAGGTAGGCATCTTGTCAACATGCACATCAAGCGCAACCATACCGAGGATGTCAGACAACAGCCAGTCACTTGAGCTGACATTCTCAAATAAAATATACCTGTTAAAGCATACGGCTATGCCGACATAACTCTTCGCTAAATTAACAAATGTAGTAATTTGGTTAGCAACTCATCTGCGATAAGTACACATTGTTCACATGATCCCTCCGCTAAAGAGCAGCGTTACAGTTAGATAAGTCTGTAGCTTTGTTTTTGTTTCGAGTTGCTCTCAGTAATTCCTTGTTGTTCCGGCGCAATTTCTTGTTTAGGGGTCCTAAGTTCAGTTGTGCTGTCATCTTGCCGGTAATCAGTTAGAGGTACGTTGGCTGCTGTCTGAATACCAAAACATAGTTTGCTGCTTCCTGCGATCGCTGAGGCGGTAACATCGTCTATTACAATGCCTAGATAAGTTGTATTTGTCTGAGGATAACTATCCGTCGCAACGAGACTGGACCTTAACTTGGTGCGACGGTTTGCGTACCTCGTTGACCCATTGAGCTATATTGCGTGGTGCCTCCGGGCCTCTTGAGCGTTACTCCTACCAGGTTGGTCAATGGTGAGAGGTCAGACAAACTCAGCCTCCTCGTCCTCCAGGTTGGGGGTTTGAAATGGGAGGACGTCCATTTCTGTAAAACTAAATCATTGCCACCTTCTCGCTAACTTGCGGACAGGCTTTTGAGCCAAATGATTTGAGTGAGGACCCTAATATTCCTCCCGCCTAGGTCTGGGCACCCTGGCAGTATCACAGACCACATGCAACCATGCTTTTTTCAAACATAAACTTCATCCTGCATCGGCCGTCGCACAGATTATCAAAGGTCACCTTATCTGCTGCATACATAAGGGCGGAGAAGGGAAAACATGCTACTGCTGGTTTCTCCTTTCTTTTCCACCTGTTTCTCTTACTCCCATTCTGACCCCATTACTAAACTTCCTTCTATACTTCCCAGCTTAATTGCCAGCAACCGAGGTTCCACTGGAGTAGAAACATCTGCAGCCATTTATCCACAACACCCATCGGACGCCTATCGGCCACAATCCTTTAAAATGTCAAGCTGTCCCGTTTCCCAGGCGGCGTTTAACGTTTGCACTCTACAACAGAGAGGTCAACAGGCTGCACTTGCACGCACCTTGGACACACTGGGTATTGATGTGTGTTATGTGTCCGAAACTAGGATCAATGACCCTAATGGGATTGTTGAATTAACTGCGCACGGCTTGTCCTCTGACTACTGGTTGCACGCATCTGGAGACGCCGATGCAGCACTCGCGCGTAGGTATCATTCTAAGCTCCAAGGTCGAGCCATCGTTGGTTGATTGGATTCCAGTGAACAGCTGTTTATGTGCAGTCCGTTTGACGACAGCAACTAAAGTTGCTACACGAAGTACTACAAAACGCTGTTTGTTTGAGCTTTCCGCTCAAGCACCCACAGACTGCAGTTTTAATGATGTAAAGGATAGATTTTATTACGAAGTGAACGCGCTACTACGCAATGCTCCTAGTTCAGATATTATATTACTTGCAGGGGATATGAACGCACAATTAGGTCCACTGAGCTCTTCAGAATCTCAGTTAGGCGTTAGTTATAGGCTTAACTTCAAACGACTGACAACGGCGAGTGTCTGCGGCAACTGTGTGCGGAGCACCAGTTGTTTCTTAGTAGTACTGCTTTTAGTCACAGTGGGCGCCGAAGTGCCACTTGGCGTCCTCCTGTAGCTGGTCAGCGATGGACCCAAATTGACCCCATTGACATAAGTTACAGGTGGCGTGGTTCCATCCTGGACTGCCGCAAGTAGTGGAATACGCAGTCGTTTCTCAATGAACTTTATCGGGCTGCGCACCAAGCGTCTCCTCAGAGTGCCAACTGGGAAATTGTCTCAGCCCTCGGTCAGGCACTCTTATCAAGACGCACTGCTTGTCGGACTTTCGCTGTCTTGTCTTAATGACAATGAGCTTCAGTGGAATAGGATTTCGGCCGCCACGCACGACACAGGAGCATCTGGTTGTGGCACTATCAATCTTCACCGCACAATTCGCTGGATATCCGAGAGGTTGGCGAAGCTGAGGGAATCCAGATGAAACTTCACGACTGGCTCTGAGCACAGTGTAATCAGTCGGACTAGTATGCGCGAACTAAAGCGGAGCCTACGTACTGAAAACGAAGCGTGATGGACCAGTTACACTCAACAAATGGGCGAGTCAGGAGCAGCAGGCAATTACGGCAAGCTCTTCCAGCAGATCTGCACCACTAGTCCAAAGAAACCAGGCGTCAATGAGACAGTCAGAGACAGCGCAGGTGCACTGTTACATCACAAGAAGCGCCGGATGGCTCGTTGAGCGGAACACTTTCAAGATCACTTCAGCTGACCCCCTGCTCCCGGACCTCTTTCTACTCAAGTGATGCAGGATGAGCCATGGATGGTTAGTTTAAGGTCTCAGTCAAAGGTGGAGCCCCGGAATGCGAGCACAGGTCTTAATCAATTTCAAGCCGCTGGCCCGGATTCCCTCTCACCTTCACTATTTAACGTTGGAGGTGAGGTCCTCTGCAAAGTACTGAACTCCTTATTCGAACATATCTGGAAGGGTGTCCAAAGGAGTTCCAAAATCAGCAAGTGTATTACCGACGTCAATAAACCAAACATCTCATCAATAAGGTTATGTGATTAGACAGACCTTTGTGGAGTCGGGGGGAATGGCGTGATATGTCTGCTTACTTGTGTTAGTCTTGGGCCAGGGTAGACAGAGCGTCTGTACAAAACTCTTCTGTGCGCACAACTCTGGATTATGGAGCCGAATTGCAGTTGCCTCTGCTGTCGACAGCAGACGGCATCTGACAGGACATGGCTCACAAGCAGCACCAGTGGCGCGACTGCTGCCGTCTCCTATAGGATTGCCTGTTTAAATTGGGTTTGGTGCTGAGTTATTAGTTGGGTAAGGTCTGATTATGACGCGGAGCAATGAAAGCCGCAAAGAAGCTGTCTCGCCGATGCCGCCTTATCTTTTCACGATAGCCAGCTGTTTGTGACGGTATGTTATTAACACAAGGTGTCTGAGCCTTGACACTGAATGTTTGTTTGGGGCATTAAGGTTTTCAGGTAAGTCCCCTTTATCTCCCACTTATTATTCTTTATTCTATAAATCATGGTTTTATGGTAGCGAAGAATCAGTTCAAAGAGCCGCTGTACTGCTGCTGCTGCTGTTGTTGTTTTTGTTGAGGATAACTATGGCCAGCAGCTTTGCAAGATTTCTCTAAACCTAGCTTCGAGGCCGACATCATAGAGCAATCTGAACTTAGAACTTTAAAACCACACTCGCAGGGGAACAAACCCAAATCCACAGTAGGTTGGTATTTGGCTTCTATATCAGTTTGGTGACTAACAATATTACAGGGAGCAGCTTTGTCATCGAATTGTACCTGCTTTATGCTGATTTCCCTCTGAAGGGACATTTGTTCAAGTTTGCTCACGATACTCTTGAAATCAGTGTTGGTAGCTACTAAACTCCTTCCGCGATTAACAACCTCCGGTTGCTTATTCCGTGTGTGCGTTGTCAGGACACACTCTTATGGATGTACCGGCACATTGAAATTATTTTGTAGCAAGTTCGGAATCATTCAATTTGATTTCTGAGCTTGCAATTTCTGGATCATATTTTGTGTGGTGTCTTGCCGCAGAGTTGGTAGTTCCGTTTTGCAAATTCCGCATTCCATTTCACGGCAATTTTACATAATTTGTCCAAAATGCGGAAGGGATCACTTTGTGGTTCCTGCTCGAAAATTGTTGTGTGTTGGATTACCTGCCGATTACTATTGTCTTCTGCGTTCCACCTAACATGATTTTATCCGAATTTTGTACAACGAATGTCGCTGTCTAAGTAAGCCGGAGCAATGTATAATGTCTACCGATGCAGGTCGTGACTCGAAAGCGTTTGCAGTTCTAGACCTTTCCGTCCCGTAAATTGGCCTAGAGTCCATCCAAGCGTCAACCCAGCCTTCCTCCCGTTGAACTATCTCTGGCAACTCATTACCTTCCGGAGACAAGACAATAACTGAGACTACTGATTCACTGATTTTGAGCTCTGCTAGCTCTAATAACGCAGATGAATGCCCGATGCATGAGGAGCCGTGGAAAATTCAACGACAGAAGAAGCCGCGAAACGAAGAAAAGCTTCCATATACTGCCTAACAACAGGCCAGATCGAGCAACACTCGAGTCCATGCCACTCTCTCAGGAAGCATTTTGAATGACAAGAGGCAATTAAATTTGATGCCTTTACACGCGCATGAGTTCAACGATCCAAGTCCTCAGATATGCTATGATCATGATGTAGAGTTTCTAGAGAGTCTGGTTGATAAGCTCCTCGATGTGGATGAGGACGGAGTGAAAGTGAAGCAAGTCATCCGCCTCGGCAAAGACACTGCTGAGAAAAACCGCGCTATGCGAGTAACTTTTGTTGACGAGGCAAGCCCGAAGGTAATACTGCCTCGGCTAGTTAGATTGAGAGGCGATAGGGTGCATATTTCTCCCGGATATTGAGCCAGCTGACCGGGAGCGCGTCAAGTGTGCTATCATCGAGCTAAAGCGGCGAACTGTTGAGAGAGGAACATACGTATTGTAAATTTTCGGCTAATTACACGATCGTGAATTCGGATAAATCGGTCGCTCACACTTCAGGCTCGCTTGGTAATTCTCACCCCAGCCTGTTTAGCCTTTACCAACGTCTGCAGTCTTATGAACAAGCGCCATGAGCTGTGTTGTTTCGTTGCTTTCGTGTGACCAGATGTAATGGGACTCGCAGAGACGTGGTTGAAAGATGAGGTACTCACCCAGGAAGTTGAGCTTAGTGGCTACTCGTGCTTCCGCTGTGATAGGCTATCGAATGCCCACGGTGGCGTCTTGCTCTACATCCGGTCTTCTCTGTGTGGGAGACTCGTGAGCGTCCACCGAAGCGAAGATGGCCTATGTGAGCAGTTGTGCTGCTCGATTCCTCTCAGGCGCGGAGAGCTGCTCGTGTGTGCATTCTATCGCAGTCCCCTGAGCCGTTGTTTGGATTGGCTGCCGCATCTCCGAGACCACATGAATCGCCGTCAATTTCTACTCATAGGCGATTTCAATTGTCCTCGAATACCGCCTGAAGTTGAACTTATCACCGGTTATTGTGAGGTCGAAGCAAAGTTCGCTGATATGGTACTTGAAACTGGGGCAGCACAGCACATCTGCCAACCGACGCGCATAACACCGCGCTCAACTCTATCGTGCTTAGACTTGATGTTAACCAGCTGTGAACAACCTGTGTATGACATTCGGATTCTGGAGCCGCTGGCAGCAAGCGACCACTCAGTTCTTATTGCCAACATGGAGCTGCCACTGCAGCAATTCCACAGACTGCAGCCAGATTACAACTACTGGAAGACGGATTTCGACGGCCTGACTCGAGCCGCAAGCCAAGTGGATTGGTTTCTGCCGCAATTTGCATCTGCTGAAGCTTGTTGGTCAGTTATAAAGAATGGAATAAATTCATTGTGTAACCAATTTGTGCCTCCCAAGTGTCGGAAAATCGAACCGGTCAAACCACATTGGTTCGACAAAGAATATGGTAAGCTGGCTCGGCAGCGGCGCAGGCTATGGAACAAATTCCTTATCTCTGGCTCGGACGACGACTATGAGATGTACAAAAAGCAGCGAAATATCTGCAACGGTGTGAAAACCAGCAAGCGCAGGCATTTCGAAGAGCAGCTTGCAACCGCAGCAAAAACCGCCCCAAAGAGAATCTTTGCGTACGTGAAGCGGCGCCTGAGGCCGACAAGTAACCTACCAGTGATAGAGGACGAGAACGGACAGCCCCTAACCTCCAGCACTGAGCGTGCTTCCGCATTGGCGGCGCACTTTGCTTCTGTGTTTGCAGATGACCAGGTGTCTGTACCGAGTTCGGCGTGCACCACCCTTACCGAACTCGACAGTCTGGATTGTGATGTGGAAGAGGTGCGTCAGCTACTCGACAATCTTGACGGCACCAAGCCTGCTGGGCCTGACGGGCTCCACCCCCTGATTCTCAAATCCTTATCAGCCATCATCTCGCCTGCCGTAACTGACCTGTTCAACAGGTCTCTGTCCGAAGGTACATTGCCGATTGATTGGAAATGCTCAGTGGTAAGACCGATTCCGAAAGGCGGTGACCCCAGCAAGGTAGACAACTACAGGCCAATTTGTTTGACACCTATTCTGGCCAAGGTTGCAGAGATTGTGAAGAAACGTTTGCTACAGCTGTTCCGATCAAAAGATCTCCTGAAGCCCCCGCACAGCACGGTTTCAAGCCAGGTCGTTCATGCATCACCAACCTGCTCGTGACGAGGCATGAATGATTGCAAGCAGTGAACCAGGGGAAGTCTGTCGACGTGATCTACATCGATTTCAGCAAAGCGTTCGACAAGGTGAACCATGAGGTCCTCCTTCTAAAGCTGAGAGTGTGTGGTGTTGGTGGATCTCTGCACCAGTGGATTCAGGACTTTTTCCTTGGACGAAAGTGGAGGGTACAAGTCGATAGCCACCTGACCGATTGGTATCCTTCGACCAGTGGCGTACCCCAAGGCACGGTGCTGGGGCCTACATTGTTCCTGATTTATATCAACGACCTACCTCAGCTTCTTCGGTCGCCGTGTGCCTTGTTTGCAGACGACCTGAAGATATGGAGAGTGATAAGCACACCCGACGACTGCGGCTTACTACAACAAGACCTAAACCATCTTTCCGTGTGGTCTGCAGAAGTCCGCCTCCCGGTCAACGCATCCAAGTCGGTATTCATGAGCCTGGGGAAGGGTGGTGACGGCCGAACTTACACTCTCGACGGCCAACTGCTACACCCCACACCTTCTGTGAAGGACCTAGGAGTACTCTCACGTTGCGACTTGAAGTCCGTTGACAACACGAACAGGCTATATCGTAACGGACTGCGCATGCTCTGGGCACTCAAACGTAGTTTCTGCATCTGGTCTGAAGAGGTTGCCACTCGCCTCTTCTCCTCCATCATCAGACCAATGCTAGAGTACGGCTCGCCCGCCTATTGCCCGACCACTCGCGGCGAGGCGCAGAAGATTGAACGGGTTCAACACGTCGCTACTAGGCTCATCCCCAGTTTGCGAGGCTTACCGTACGAGGACAGGTGCGAGAGACTGGGACTGTTCACCCTGGCATACCGTCGGTTACGTGTCGACCTCATCATGACCTACCGGATTCTACATGTAGGCGACTTCCCCATGCTAAGGCCACTGCTCCACTTGCGAACGCCTTGCAGCACACGCGGACACCAATACAAGCTTGTGGTTCCAGATATGAAGCGAGTTCCCCATCCCCTGTGCTTGGAACGGCGAGTGGTAAATGTCTGGAACGGTTTGCCGGAACATATAGTGGAAGCGAACTCAGTGCAGTTATTCAAACGATCATTGGATGTGCATTTCTCAAATATTAGATTCCGTGCACGATTACCCACAGGTATCTCGCATTTTTGAGACCTAATCTACTGTGACGTAAACGATGTTTCAACGATATAACGTGAGAACGTTCAGCGTATTGAGAAGTCATAGTTTGCTTTTTTAACCTTTCTGATCATGCTTCGATGGAGTTGTACAGATTCAAATTTCTACTTGCTCCCACAAGTCAGTATTCAGTATTCTTGTGAGTAGTTAGTCATGGGTTCCTTCTGTAAAATTTACTAGGATTGGAGACGCGTGCTTAGGGTTTGCTTTCCTTAGGCGTATAAGGTGACAGTTTGTTCCACTCATGCTACTCGCATTGAGCAAGACACGCTTCACAGCTTCCAGGTGTATTTTGTCTGGCACATTAAAGATGATAACAATGTTAGCCAGATTTATCCTTTCCCGAATCTCCGTCGTGAGCAACGAAAAGATCGATGCTGCTGCTTGGAAGTGTTTGCATTCGGTTTATCAAGCACATTCACTAAATTTGACGTTGATGTCAATTTACCCAGTACCTGACCGACTTCTTTGAGCTTTTCGTTTAATACGGTTACCTCATTTTCTGGGTTGTGGATTTTTGTGGCAATTTCAGGTATCAGGAGTGGAGCAGTGCTCTTCTTTTTGTCAGCTTTCCTTAGCCGGTTCTTGCTATTTTCCATGCGGTCTCCTACAAACAAATTTGCATTTTGGTCAGGCGAATCTGAATATTTTTGAACACAGAGGTTAGCAGTATTCGGCTTACAGCTGGCTACCTGACGCTTGCTGTCAGTTGTTTTCGGAGGAACAGATGGTTTTCTCACCATCATAAAGAACTCAGATGACAAAGATAACCTCGAAACTCAGCTATGAGAATTCAGAATGATGTAAGAGGAAATAATCCAGAATTACAGGTTAGGGATGGAATCAAATGCATTAATACGAGAAACAAAATACAACCGATGGAATTCTGCTTGGTACAACGAAATGGTAATACAATCGCCGAAACTCACAGGTTTCAATGTTACCTCGTCTGATATTTTACTTATTTTGGTTAGTCAGTTGCCTATGCGTCAAGTCTGGTGTCAGTCATTGAAGACTTGGGCTCACAACAATCTCCATAAACATGGACGGCAGCTGGGATAAATAACAACATGAGCAGCTAGTTGCTTACCCACTCCATAATATTACATACAAAACCAAAGTTGTGCTCTTGCAACCTATAATCACTTCCTATTATTATCTACTCCTGAGCCTCACAAACTAGTAAACGGTGAGACAAATATCAGTACATTTGACATATCACATTTTACTACATGTACATTTTACATATTAGAAGCTGAGGGAAAATTCCTGATCCAAAATTCGATTATGTGAATTTATTTCCTTTATTATAAATCTGTCACGAATTTGGTGAAACCGATTCAATGGGAAAACCATCGCTCCCGTTTATGGGGCCATATACCGCTTGTTGTCAAATATACGAATTTATTTGTTTATTTAGAACCACTCGCAACAAACCGACTTGCTGGTTATCAGCTTTCAATGTCCTTTCGGATTGCTGGGAGCAACCCAAGCACGCCCTGGTTACGTTCGACGGAAGATCTCTGCAGTACTCTCGTCTCTAGCATCTAGGAGTTTGTACTCAGGCGTCGTATGGAAAGTGCCCAGCATTTGCTCACGTTGAACGGTGGCAGATTTGGTTTTGAACACTGCTGTACCTTGTCTAGGTCACACGGAAGCAACTATTAATCGACATCCGCCCGAATCCTGCCCCATTTCTTGATGTCCTCAGCAAACATTAGGATATCTGAGGCGATTGTCCGTCTAATGTTATCAATTTTGACCAAAAACAGTCGTGGCCAAATAAATGAACCCTGAAAATAACCACACCTGAGCGTTACGGGTCAAATAAAAGGAGCTCTGAGCTCGGACCACTAGTTGTCGTTACAGGAGTAAGTTGGCTATCCAGCTCAAGAGGGAGTCAACGGTGCCGCTATGTTGGAGCATGGAAATGAGAATCCAGTGCTCCAAACGACCGAATGTCCACGATAAATCCAAGCAGATCACATCAACGACCCATCCAGCGTCAACTCACTTGGTCCAACTACTCTGTGTGATCAATAAATTCCTCGTGCATGATCGCTGCCGACGAAAGCCGTGTTGCTCGGGGCAATAATGTTATAACTTTCCAGATAGCGCAGCAATGCATCGGGAACAATGCATCCCGTTGCCTTGGACAGCACAAGAGGAACAGATACTGGACGGTGGTTTGAAGTCTCAGTCCTATTTTCGTCATTGTAAATTGGTTATTCCGAGTATAAAAATGTCGGAAACCTGATTCAGGTCTAAGCAGATCTGAAATAAATAAATCTAAGGTCTTGTCATTTGTCTGACTGCTATTCCAAGGGTTTCTGGGCGAATGGTATCGACTTCCGTGTGGCTGTAATTGCTCATAAAGTCAGCTTCTGACGTACACTTTTAGCAGTAAAAGAGAAGTTAGTGAGTAATTAAAGCGGGAAAACCAAAGCTGGAAAGCCACCTGATGATAAAACCCCTGAAACATGGGAGCATATTGCGTCCGCAACAAGTCTGGTACTTCTATAAGCGTTTATGTCGGAACATCAGCCGTCGTGACCAGAGGAATTCCCTGTCCCAACCACATAAGCCCATTGTCATGGTTGCGCAGCAACTTGTGGCTAGCGCCGAAAGCTTTCGCCATGTTCTGCACGAGGAAGGTTATCCGTAAGCAATGGGTGCATAAAGTACTAAGCCAACCTCAGAAGTGCTCTTTGTGGTGGGTGTTATAGACCGTCCTTCTCTACCACCTGGAACACTGCTATCTAGATGTGTACAAAGACGATTTTAGATTGGCGACGTGGCTCATTTTATGTTAATTAGAAGGTCGGCGTTAAGGGCATGGATCGAGAGCAACTAGTTATTGTCACTCAAACGGATAAATAGGGTACCACGTGGCACGTGTCTCATTGTCCTTACACCGTACAGATTTGCTGTACACCAGTTTATCGATACCGACAGGTCCTCTCCAAAATATCGCATCCGCATTTAAAGTTCCAAGTAATATCGGTTGAATCAGCTCTGAAGCTGACACTTGCCTCAAGGAAAAACCTCTGCTTTCGGTCGATCTGACTATATTTAATGAGACTGACGTGAAAATCAGCTCATAGTTGAAATACTGTATTGTCATCTAAAGAAAAATATATTCCAAAAACAAATCTTCTAATGTGACCACATTTCAGAGAGATAAGCAGAAACTCGAAGTGATTAACGAAAAACCCATTTCAAACGAACTCGAGGTGAGTCGCTCCATTTTTCCGGATTCTTGAACCACAATTAGCCAGATTTTGGCCTAGCTCTGACCAGTTCATCAATATTCTCAAAACATGGGTATATATGAAAAGTGCCTTCTGCATCTGTTCTACAGAACAAAGAATAGTGCATGAAATTAGATGTTATTGGCTTAGTGAAATGACAAGAATCCATTGAGACGAAATACTGTTAAAACATTGCTAGCACCAAGTCTTCGGTGAGGTTATCTAAACCATTTAGGCCACAGCATTTATATTTTGTAATGATTAATTTAGAGCGTTTGCTCTCGTGTGTGTGCGCCACCGAAAAAGTGAGAAAGTTTTGTTTGGCGCGCTCAAACGTTTCGGTGCGGTGTGTGAACAGTCAAAGAATTATTTAGAAAATTTATGTGAAAATGATCTATTCCATTATGGTTGTTATCAAACAGACTCTGGAAAGCCGACCACAGATTATTCTTCGACCTAAAATGTACACCGGAGGCCAGAGCAGAATTCATCATATATTTATGTTTCTATCGTTTTCACGCGAAGTGCAGATGGGCGAAAATATGTAGTGGTGAAAAGAGCAGATTTTATAGCAATTTCTATTGACTTAAGATTCAAGAGCAACAAGTTCGGTTTGAATCACACATTCATATTTGATATATGCTAAAGTCAGTGAGTGTTTGTAGCGGACTAGATGTTGACTCTATCCATATTAATCAGTTGCAGAACATCCTACTTAAATTTATTATATAATGGTTGGCTTCAGATAGCTGGAATGCAACTAGTAATAGTTTTCCTAACCGAACTCACAGGCAGGCCCATCGCGCAGTTTCAGTCCGCCACACACGGCTGTTCTTTTCTAGCCTTTGTTGCATAGTATTGGCACCATGTTGTTAACCGACGTACAGGACCACTGTTCCGTGTATCGATAGACGCTCGTCCCAGCATCGTTGCACTTTTTCTTCAACTCTCGTCAGAGATACTATGCAGCTGGACATTGCATAGCAAGTCTGTCGGATAGAGCCAGTTTCTCCACCAAACTTTGTTGTTAGTGGATTGTTCAGACAAGCCTGAGCCAATAAATACCAATTGGTCGTACTTTGTTAATAAGATTAGATTTTTCCCATACTAGAATCTGATGACTAGGAGTGGTTCGCTTATTCGCGTGCACAACCTTAACCAATGGTTTCTAATCAGCAAAAATATAGTTTAGGTAACTTTGAGAAGCAACCTCTTTATTGACTGGGCGCAATTATTGCGCTGGGCTCGAATTTTTGCAATCATGAGCCAACTGCACTTGATTGCTGTACTTCTAACAACCTCTTAACAGTATATGGATATCAGTAGCTGGCAAAATAAAGCTGCTTGTTAACATACAAATTTGTGTTCTGGTCATCTGCGAGCAGCGAGAAGCATATATAGGGAAAGGTGTTTTGTATTTTTATTTCAGTATTCAAAATCAGCCAACTCTGCTCAGCCACCTTCACCTACTTCTTCGGTGTTCAGTGACACCTCGAGCATCTGGGAATCCCCATTTGTACGAACTCAATCTAGGCGAGTTTCTGGGCCACGAGTTGTTATCGACAGACGTTCCAAGAGGCGTAGCAGATGCGGAAGTGCTGCCTCCATTATCAGCATGGAAAACGAGATACCCTGATGATCAATATGAGGACGTAACGGAAGCGCATCAATGTGGTTATTACTTAAATATGTTGTATACAATTTCATCCTGTACGGTTTTGGGTCTTTCAGCAAACTTCTTTTCTTTCTACCTAAATATTATTTGGCTTCAATCCAAGGCGCTGTGATCATTTGTTATGCCAAATGCACTGAAAAAGTATTTGTACCTAAACGTATACCGCCATCTTGTAAAGGACAACATTCTTGAACTGAAAATACTCCAATGGACCATCGACTGTTGTGCTCACCGCGTAAACACTCAGTATGTAATGAAGTTCAACTGTTTTTGGTACTACAGAATTAAAGTGTTAAAATGCTTCTCTGTTTTGTTGCACGAGGAAAAATGGAGTGATTGGTTACATCAATCGGAGTCTGACACCCGTTAAGTTCTGAGCTACTTGGATACTAACAATAAATCTAAACTCGTTCATCAAACACTATTTAAAAAATGATTATTATCCTATGTGTTTGTTTCCTCCACTCCTTAATTCCATTGGCAAAATTAAAGAAAACCACTACTTTCGCAAACATTTGCTGATGGTGTAACGCATACAGAAAGTGACGAATCGTAAGCTATTCTACTATCCTCATTTCAAGTGCTATACACACTGTTCACTCGCAATATCTACCGATGAGTTTGATAGGGGGGAATTATGCATTCCTCGTTCCTTGCAGAAAGCACGAGGCTAGAAGAGCAAGGCTGTAACGCGTGACGATGAGATGATTAACTATGCACACACTATGGGAAAAAGTGAACAATGTATATTTCTGGAAATCCGGCTTACCGACCGAAACGTCGAGTGCATGTACCTTAACTGATCACTCGATTCGTGCTAGATGTTAACCTAACACGTCCTGTCTGCTCCTTTTTGGTTAACTGCACCTGGCATTCAGGTTTACCCGTGAATTGGGGTTTCCTTTCATCTTATCAAGTACAGGTTGCTTTGAAGTAACGTTGGTGTAATCATATCGTGTGTACTCTCCGCGCCCTTTTGGTAAATGTAGTTAACGCGTTGACTTTAAACGCCACCACATCAGAGCATTTAGGTCATAGATATGAATGTTAAGAGCTCGCTTACCGAACTGGTGAACACATTGATAGTCCAATGATCTCAACCGTTGAAAAGAGCGTCTGCCCCTGTTGAGCTATTTACTTGCAGCACCAACAACTGATCTACGTGTGATGCAAGTGATTTTATTGAACGCTTGGCAGTTGGCTTTGGCAGAACCATTAAGAATCAGCTGTTCACCTTTGAGATGATCAAAGTTTTCTAGTTTTGTGATAACTAAAGCACCCGCCCTTTAATCTCATCGTCCATAGGCGTCAACAGTACATCCGTACGCAATACCGAGGCTTCACTGCCGTGCAATCACCACCGGCCGCACGTTGGCTAAGGGTACTGCGAGGGTCGCGCGGTCCCTACGCAGCCTCGAAGCTGCGCCGTCTGAAGACGAGACAAGCGTGTTACCTTTGGGATACGGGCCATCCACGTTAAACTAACAAATGAAACAATTATTGCGATGTGTAAGAAACCAGGGAATACTCTAAGCTCACACGAATAGAGATGCGGGAGTTACGACTGCTTGCATACAATTGAGGCAGCATAGGAATATTTGGCACTAATATTAATCTTTCTTTCACACTAGGCTAAATGAGTGTGCTAGAGTAGCTTCCAAAGCTTTTAACGTTATAGCTCCTTTCAAAGTTTTCCTATTTTGTTCGAACATGCAAATGGCTTGACCTGATAGTTATTCAAGTTGACATTTTTAGAGATACAGCTGAGTAAATGGATTGTCACATGTAATATCTATTAGAACTGTAAGTTACGTCGAGTCAAAAATCGACCACTTCTACTGAAGCCTTTAAACCTTAGATGTTAGTAACTTCAGATAATACACTTCACTGCCTGGCGTGAGTTTTAATTTCTCCAACATTATCCAGCATGATGAGTCGAATCGACTTCAACTCCAGTCGTCAACATAAGCTCTATGCACCCAGATGGGTGCATGGTTGCGCAATACTGAGAGATGTTATGCTGGAGTAATACAGAAGCGATGATTTGAATAAAGGCATATCCAATTGCTACTCCAAAAGCCGCTAGCGTAGCAGGCTTATCACTATCGTTTTGCTGACAGGTACACGTGGCAGTTAAGGTAGAATGGTGTCACGACACGACGACGCGCAGGAACTTTTAACCACGCAGAAAGGAAGGACAGCCATCTCCGGATAGTCACCATGCAGTGGGTAAACTCGCTCATTTGCAACGTTGGAGAAAAAATTAGTAGCGGCTTGCTTATTTCTATATCATTTCTCGATTGTTTTCAGCCTTAGCGCAATCTCTTTAATCATCAGCTTGCGTCCGTACGGCAGAAACTTTAATCCAATACGCATCTAATTTTAACCGACATCGCATTGAGTAGTCAGCCGTAACCAGCCAATTGCATCTCGATGCTCATAAATCACCTGTGTACGCACGTAGCCTAGGGGTGCCGTGGAGGCGCTCAGAACATTGCAAACCTGTATGTGCCGTTTCCTGCAATGCAAGCGGTCTGATCGCGTTTTGCGAGCGTGTGTGCGTATTGGCATACGTAGATAGCTCAGGCAAGTAACACTGACGCACAGTTCAGTGGATTTGAATGTGGTCCAATAGCGTGGCAAAGCCCAGATCTGACTGTGTTTAGATGCACTCGGCTTGAATTGAGGACGCTGCTCGGTGGGGGTGAGAGCGGAGGCGTAGAAAGCAGGCCGGGGGAGGGCGGTCCGTCTCGGGTGGCAGCTGAAAAGGGGCGGCGTTGTTAGTACGGACGCTTTTTCAATATCAATTGTAAATGCATCGAAATTATCTCCATGATTGAAGTCACAAAAATGAAGGGTGACCGAAGATGAAATTGGTATTACGAACCTTGATTTCCAGGAAACAGTAAGAGATATTGAAAGCATGGATGCAGTGGGAAATGTTTGTAATGCTGATACAGATGCGCACTAAGTTGCAGAATTGGCAGTGCAGTCATAATTTGGCATGGTAATACACGCATACATCTAGTTTGTGGATGCCAATTAGTGGCCTGTTCAGATTGAGCATGTAATTCGCACTAGGCTTTTCCGTCTCTGATTTAATGTCGTGAAATATGTTGATCATGAGTTCAGTAAGTGGCACTACCTAGAACGAATACAAAGCCGACGCTAAGAAGTTACCAACGAACTCGTTTTTCCATGAGTTGCGGAAAAACAAGCAAAGCAAATCCGGTTAGTAGATGCAAGGCAATTGTAGCAAAGCCGTGGCGTCATATTTTGGCTAGAATATCTGATGTCATCAGGTTTTTCATCTAGCAAACAGGACACTTTGTGTTCTTCGAGACTCGCCCAAGATGATGAAGGAGGCCAGAACAAATAAGGAAATTTTTCTTTTGTCAACTATGGTCACTATGGGCTTGTTCTTTGTGTACATCTGGTGACAGTGCAGCTGGGAAGATTAATCAGCAGATTTTCTTCATCACCACGCGTACAAAAGTAATTATTGAGCATTTTGGTAAGACAGGTAAGAAAGAAAATCTTAGTGCAGGTCAAGGAAACGCA